CTGTAATGCCAAGCCAGCAGAGGGAGCCTTCACCCGAGTACTGACTGTGTTCCACTCCCTCTGCTTCCTCTACACTCATTTCCTGTTTGGTTGCTTTATAGCCAGAGACTGTGCTCATGCTCATTGCGAAGTATTGCCAGTTAACCTTACCAAGCGTTTTCTCTGTACATTCTGACTCCCTGTTCAGTGTATGATTCTGCCTGTTCACCTACCTAACGATTACCTGGATTATCCCCCTTGCTTAGTTTGCCTGATCGGACGGATGTGTTTGGACTTCGTTCATCAGATCTTTTTTTATTTATTTGTTTACCTTGCCTTATACACAGAGGCAGGGGCGTAGCCATCATTTCAGAAGTGAGGGGGACAGAAATGTTTTATATATATATATATATATATATATATATATATATAACATTACACATCCCCCGCGTAATCTACGCCCCTGCACAGAGGCATTGTTGTGTTAGAATAGAAAATGGTCCAAACTATTGGTATAAAATTAGAAGCACACAATTCCCTAGAATAGCATTATATGCTTTTTTTTTTTACTAAAAATGTAAAATTACTAAAGTAGTCAAACCTGTTCATTAGAAGGGGGTGTCCCAATACTTTTGGCAATATAGTGTACAAGCCAAACTAGCTATTCAAAATCTTTGTCTGCAATTTAATAATATTGACCAATTACTTTTGCTATTGCTTTTGACCATTATGTATCAGTAACATAATTCATTCAGAACCTGTTTTATGGACATAGACTATATCTATATCATCTATATCTGCCTTCCAGTCTATAAGGTCCCCTTCAAAGTCCAGCAGTCCCAGATACACAGTAAGCTCACCCTCAGTCATGGTGCAGTGGGTGGAGCTCCTCTCTGCGCTCTTGTTGTCCACTAGGTCTCCCTCCACTTTCCATTCACCCAGATATATTCTCAGCTCACCCTCAACCACGGTGCAGGGGGCGGAGCTCCTCTCCGCGCTTTCTCGGTCCACGGCTTTCTCCCTCGTGGCGGGCATTGTAGCCGGCTCTCGCACCTGGTCTGACATCACTAGCAGCTCCGGCTCCGCGGCGATCCTCAGCTCTGTCGCTCCATGCGGCGATGGCTCGTCAGTTGCGGCGGGCTCGGGCTCTCCGTCATTGGTGGGCTCTGGCTTGCGCTCCGCACAGCGGGGTGATGGGGGGCTGGGCTCTGGTTCTGGCTGTGCTCTGGATCGAGGCCGGATGCTCTCCAGACACCGGATGATCGCCTCCCTCCAGTTCAGTCCAGTGGTGTCTGGGAGGTGTCTGGGACTGTGTAGGAGCGAAGGAGCGCGGAGACGTAGGAGAATTCACGTAGAACAGTCTTTATTAATCCGAACGGGTAACTCAGGACAGGCAGGAACACACATAGCACATAGACGTTTACGACACCAGACAAAGGAACGGACAACACTATAAATAAAAGACTAAACAAGGGAAGATGATGAGACACACCTGAATCGAATGAACACAATCAACAAGGGAGAAAACTATAGGTCACGGAGCACATGGGGAGAAAAACACACACACAAACAGTCCAGGGGTGTGACACAGGGAGCCACTATCAATATGCAGAAGAATCCTGGACCTTCCAGGAGAGGTGGGAATACTGTAATTTGTACATTCAAAGTACTAATATGTACCATTTAGGAGTGAATAAGGTACAAAGATATACCTTTTAGCTGTTGTACCTCAGGGTATGTTACACCCTGATAAAGGGGGAAAATGGACATTAATAAATGAAGACACGGACTCGTGCTGTTGTCTCTGCGTCAGTCTGTATTGGCTGTGACGCACAGCACAGCTCGTGTCAGCCACAACCTGCAACCTTCGACACTCCAAAAATTACACTTAAATCATATTGATTTTAACTATTTTTTTCTTTTTCTTTTTTATTACAGTCGAATCACATTGATTCCATCATTTATATGATCATTTTGATCTTTGATCTTTTTAACCTCTACACACTCCCCCTCAAAATTTAGATGTCGTCCCGACATCTTGAAATGCACAGTTTTTTTTTAATTTTTAATCTTATTAATTTTCCTTCAACATGGGGTATTCTGCTTTTACTATATCAATCTTTTCTTAGCCTGAATTATGCTACAGTCTATCTCTGATATCCGTACATAAGATATGGGTAGGGATTATAAGTCGAGGGGTTCCCTCTGTGGTCTTGGATGTCTCTCATCTACCGTGGAATCATTGCATGGCTCAAGTGACAAGTGATACTCAACTTCAATCCGTTCCTCTTCACGGTGCCCTGTCACTAATGGGTCCTCTACTTGAATCAGCTCTTCATCACCGTCTTCACCTGGGCGTTCTTCATGTGAAAGCTCAACAGTGTCCACTCTTTCTCCTATATCCTCACCATCCTTGGTCTGCCCGGCCAGTCCACTTGTCTCCCTTTCTAACTCATCAGGATCTCCGTCACTCCCTTCTC